TGATGCTACCGTAACAGACACCGAGGCTTGGTTTTATCGGGGCCATTTCTGCTGCAGATCCAAACCGTAACACGCAAAAAGTACATTTCAAGGCCCGGGATTTTATTTATAAGCAATTAATAAAAATGGCCTGATCTTTACCAGGTTTTAAAATCACTTGCATCCAGGCTTGAGCCTACAAAAAAACAAAACGACAGAAAACAGATTGATCAGATTATATATGAAAAATGAAGCCCTTATAAGAAAAAAGTTGTGAAAAAATGACATGCACCTTTGCTGCTTCCAGTGGGTTTAATTGTGAAAATAGCAGCCAGTTGCTGACCACCTTTGCAGAAGCAGAAGACCCGCCAGCTTTCAGATCTTGAGGATACAGTTTTGTGTTAACATGTTGCCAAGATGGAAAGACATCAGCAATGACCTGCGAAGGGTCAGTAGAGGACCTTACTACAGAGAGGAAGGTTATTAACAAGTGGAAACATTTATGACAAGCTGGCAGTCTTCCCAGGAGCAGAAGCCCCAGAGCACTCAAGGTCAGAGTGTGAAATGCTCAGATAAATTTATATATATATATAAATATAACAACATAAGCTCCATGTCAGATTCTGCAGACCTTTCTTACCACAATGAATGTTACCGTTCAAGACAGTCTAATTAGAAAAAGACCAAAGACGGGCGGCTTTTTGAGAGGAGGGCTGCCAAGAATATGGCAAAGGTGAGCGATCCACAAAACCTCCAGAGTGTTGTCTTAGATGAGACCAAAACAAATGAAAAGCATATCAGCATAAATATCTCACTCACACAGAGGCAAGCATGATAGCAGAAGGGTGATGATATGGGCTTTTTTTTAATCAGTCACAGGAACTGGACACCTTGTAAATCACTGGATAATTTGTGAACTCCTCTGCAAACCAAAGTTTACACTCGGAGTGAAAGTGTGAGGTCATCCATCATCACAAACGCAACAGAACGTCTGAAAAACAAAAGAATCACGACGTTGCAAAAAGACCAGACTTTGCCCTGAGGAAACAAAAGTCAAAAAAAGACACGTATTGAACAGAAGCGATCCCGTTCAAAGAAGATGAAATGAAAACTGATCCGAAAAAGATGCGAGAAACTGAAAGTATTGCAGAAAAAAACTGTAATTTAAATTATTGGTGCTAAAAGGTGCTTCTAATAAGTTAATGAATCGTGGGATTGTTCTCGGCTTTGCACAAACTCTCCCTTTTGGTTTCAGCTCTCTCTGATAATGACAGTGGGGAATCCGCTGTGGCTCTGTGCACTGGTGTTTTAGATGGAAATAACTTTAGATCACATCACTTTTACTCCGTCCTGATGTGGAAACCGCCCCCCGAAACTTCAGGAGGGCGTTCTTATCACAACTGCACGCTTTGAAAAATATGTCATGGGGAGTTGACAAGAGCAGTTGTTGAGAACCCAATTTGGATTTTTAACAGTAATTCTGGGGCTTAATTAGAAGGAGGGAATGTGTAACGCGCATCCAGCTGTGACCGTGCAGCAGCATGTTATGATAAAATCTGTCACTAACCCCGGCAATTAAACTCTCTCCTCAGGCCACTTCTGTTCAGACTGCCTGTGGCTAAGCACACGCCTCGTAATGCCCCGGCAGATGGCAGGTGAAGTCCTGTCTGCATCTCCACTCAGTAAGCAACACGTCTACATTGCGGGAGATGGTAAAACATAAAAAGTGACATTAAAAAAACGGAGAGGGCTGCATTTCCCCCACCCCCACTCTTCTGAAACCGTAATGGACCCAGAAAGTCGTTGCTTTACTGGAAGTCGATGTGTTAAAATGTCTTTCCCCAAATCTCTTTTTTTTTTGCTTTACATTTAGAAAATTAAAACTCACTAGACTGTTTGGTGTTAGATGGTAGATGGTATTGATTCACATTATTTTCTGAGTGATGAAAACTCATTGCACCTGGCTTTTACAGTCACGTTCAGGCATTTTATTAGAACTATTTTTCAGTTTTTGTCCAATAAAACTCTACTTTTACTCCATTATGCCCGTTTAATATGAGGCAACAGGGACTCGTCTTAAATGTCCAATTAGTCAGCTGACAGGAGGTTAACTAGAAACTGTTCTGGTAATTACTTTATGGTGGCTGCGCCTCAGATTGTACCGTTTTCCTCTTGCACCACACTAGGGCTAAATATTTCTGGATTCAGGATATTTTGTTAGACGGTGGCTGTATTTATGAGCCATTTTTAACATACTGAAAGGCTTTGGCTGATGCATTTTGTCAAACACAACTCAATCTTTAGCCAAAGATGAAAGCTTTGAATCCTGTGAGACACACATTTGACAGAGTCAGTGCTGCATGCATTCAATAATAGGAATATACAAGTTAAAACTAATTGATTTCTACATTAAAGTTGCAGATGGAGTTTAAACATTAAGTTCAATTTAACAACAAACACCCAGCATGGTTCCAACATGTTTCTCCATTTTAACATTTCTAGAGGGAAACTCCTGAATAACCATATTAATCACCAAGGTGATTTTTCCAAGCATGATTCAAATTCTTGTAGCAGTTTTCTTTAAATGTTTGGTCAGGTTTAATTGACTGCATGGTCTAAACAAAGAAAAATCCCATCTTGCAGCTTTCTGGACTGTAGCCCAGAGAATCTGGAAAGCAGGTGGACTGGCTGGATGGATGGGAAAACGATCGGACGGATGACTGTCAGAGATAATATTTAAAGAATGGGAATGGGTATGAAAATACTAAAATAATTTCCTAGCCCCAAAATACTTTAACTGAATTCTTGGTCTTTCTACACAGTGCAGGGACGCTGATATTTATCCAAGTATTGAAAATAGTTCAAACAAACCCAAACTTCGAAACTGTGAGCAGCCTGAGCACTTCATTTGGAAAATCTTTACTTGGCACTTTGAACTTGTGGCTTTCCTCTAAACTCAGATTTGACTGAGCTGCTCAGAGAAAAACACTATATTTGATGCGAGTTTCATAAGAACCAGCACTGAAGCGATGGAGGCCATGCATATTCATGAGGTGTGACTCAGTTTGTTGCAGCAGGAAGAGCACAAAAACAACAGAATGTCGTTTTAATGCGGAAAGAACTTCATAATGAACTGCTGGTCACCAATTAACGATGAAAGACATTTGAGTTTGAAACGACCTCTCACGTCTCTCCTGTGTTTCCAGCGGAGACTTTCAGGCCCCACATAGATAAAAATCTTTATTCAGCCCCATCGCCAGCATCAGCTCCAGCTCAGATGGTATCTGGAGGCAATTTTGGCAACGGCTCCACTGATTTCCACCTGCTTTCTGCATGTGTGCACGTGAAAGCCACCCGGGGTCAGCTGTGCCGCCATCACCCACCTATCAGGCCTCGGAGGTCCCCGAATTCATCAACAGCAATCCATCACGGGAGGATTTTAGCCACAATCAGTGCGACTCACAGGAAGTCTGTAGTGTAACCTAACATTATGGGGATAATTTATGATCTAAAAGAAAAAAACAAAAAAACAATTCAGCCAAGCAGGCCGTCATTGTTGACATTACAAAGACTTTGATGGATGCGTTTTGCTGTATTTTTTCTCGTCTACCGTTTAATATCAGGATGCACAATTCTCTGCAGATGTAGTGACATGTATGTTGTGTCATTCATCTAGAGAAACCAGTGGAAGCTGCTGCAAATTAAACATAAAGAGGCCCTTTGCGCCAAGAAACGAATCGGTTTTCAGTTTAAATCTGCTGGCTACGTGTTACATCATCATCCATATTTGGGAATGCCTTTCCACTTTAGAGAGAAAAAAAAAAAGACTCTTTTACGAAAAGAAATTGACTTACTTCTTTGAAAATCAATAAAAATACCAAATGTGTTTTATTTACGTTTCATACTTTTTTGATATTTCTCAGATATTTTGACTCTAAAAAAATTAAAATAAAAAAACACAACATTTGCCCTTTAAATTGTCCTTCGGGGCAGAAGATAAATGCTCAGCTGCATGTCTGAAACACACCCTTAAGATAAGGTGATGGGTCTCTTACCAGACAAGCTCATCTCTGGAAGCCTTGAGGAAGTAAGCGTCTGCATCAGGTCAGATGAAACATGGCCGCCTGCCTCGCTCTCAGCTGGCGAGCCCAGGTTAGACACCCTTCGGGAAACCTTGGAGAGAGATGCCGTTAGCAGACGGTCACAGGTTTAACACGAAAGCCAGCAGGAGAGTAAACAGGAGAGAGCAAGTAAACAGATCTAGAACGAACACCGAGCTGGAGTATTTTTAAACATTTGCAGTTTCCTGGTCGGAGTTATTACACAACTTAAATTAGTTTGAAAATCAAAAAGTGGTTGCAGATGTTGGAATTCACCGAATCAAATTCCGTCTGGAGGAAAGTTTTATGACGTTATCAGACCAAAGATTGAGAAGACAAATGTTTGGAGGAGACAATGAGAGGCTTTCTAATCTTAGACGTCAGCTGTAAAGCATGGTGGTGGCAGCATCATTCTGAGCGTCTGTTTCACTACTAGTGATGTTGGTGCATTGCAAAAAAAAAAAAAAAAAAAAAAAGGAACAACACGGCATTAAATCTACATTTGAAATGAGCAAGTAAACATGAAGTTCCTGGGATTTGCTGACCTTCACTGTCACATTTCAGGTTTAGAAAATATTGTATAAAGACAATGAGTGCCTTTAAAATAAATAACAGTACTGTATGTAATTATTCCTCAAGTGAAAGTAAAATTTCTGGCTGGAGCTGCACCTCTCACAGAGCTGTAAAGGAGCACAAGTTACGACAGAAAGAGCCAGAATATTTTCTGAAACGTGGTACGGCATAAATGAAGCAAAGGACAGGATAAATAGTTACCTTTGATTTGGGTAAACATCTTTCATCTGCATCTTCAAAGCGGTCCTTATCTGACATGAACTCCTGCTAATAAACTCAACAAACCCGTTTCAATTTGACTCCAAGCGTCTCCAGCTTTGCTGAAACATACATTTAGATTAGACAAAGTTTTCGTTTGTGCTTGCTTTATTTTTTTTTTTTAAATCCCTTTGTGTCTAATTGACAAGACGGTTTCAACGTGACGCCATTTAAAACTGAAGGCACCTTGTTATTTATTTATTTTTTCTTTCAAATTTAAAACAATCTCCATAAACCTAAAAGTAGAAAAATAAAAGTTGTATCCTCTGTCTGTGGTTTGATTGTGACAACTGATCTGTACATATTCCTGGTTTCAGAGAACTTCTCCGACTTTCCTCCTCAGTCAGTCAGTCAGTGAAGTGTGAGCCTCCGTCGATGCTCTGCAGGCAGCGGTTTGAACGCTTCTGTCCTGCTATGAGCGCTGACAGCTCAGAGCTTGAAGCTTCCCGTCTCCACTCCAGTAATCTCAGATCGCAGAGCCGATACCCAGGTTTTGCTCGTCGTCACGACATGCAGCTCTCAGGTCAGCTCCAAAGGCAGATGCTGCTCATGGCCTGGCAGGTGGAAACGCTCTCAGCTGGAGAAAGGTAGATCTTGCCGCTGGGGCAGACGCACACCTCGTACACGGCCTGCTTCCTGAAGGGCTCGCCGGCGGACGCGGCGTAGAGGCCGAGCGGGAGGTTTTCCAGCCGAATGCTGTCGGCATCAAGGAGAATCTGGAGGAGAAAAACGTCAGAAGCACTGGGAGTCAAACAAATCAGTCGACGTGTCCTGGTGCGATGTACAACCGCCGGAAACCGATTCTTTAATACCTGTCAGGGCAAACTGAATGTGAAAGACAGCAGCACTGCTCAGATGAGAATAAAGCAGGAAGCAGGTCTTTACTTTTACACATAACCGTTTGCAGTTTTCTCAGTTTTATATGAGCCGATTGTCACTGAAAGGAAACGTCCACGATTGTTACTTTAATCACTTATGGTCACTCAGTTGTCTTTATTCTGCTTCCTCACAAAAATACTGGAATTTTATCCTAAAGAATACAGAAAAGTTCTGGCTTGTATGTTTCTGTACCAGATGCAACAATCAGCCTCCGAATGACCAAAACAATCACAGAGCAAACTGAAAAGTTAAGCTGAGACGCTTGTCCTCCACTGTGCATCTGCAAATCCCAACAATCCTCCTGGAGGTACAAGCACTTCAATTACCTCCAAACACAAATTTTGAAATGTCTGTGTGTGTTTGAGCCCCACTAATGAAACAAAACAGTAAAAAAAATAACTTTCATATTCCGTAGAGGAGTCAGGCCTCGTATGTGGAACCTGTATACACCAGAATACAAGGAAAGGTGTTTGGATGGACGGACAGATGAACAATCTAAAGAACCATCTACAGACAGACGGGTGAATCATTTGATGGACAGATGATGGTGAAATATAAGGACAAAACATATTACACTTCTTCCAGCATGTCTTTGGATGTGCTGGAAGAAGACGATATGCCCTCTACAAGCCAACCTCGGAGAAAGACGATCCAAGTAAAACAGAAAACCGGAGGGGATTGTAACTCGAGATGCCCTCACCTCTCCCTCTGTGGCTTCCAGCTGCAGGTCCTTTCTGCTGCCGATCTTCAGCGTCCCCGTGGCCGTGCTCACTTCCACCCCTCTCGGAGCCTCCATGGTCAGGGTTCTCGTTGGCGACTCCAACCTAAAAGGATCGTTTCAACCAGATGTTAAGTTGCTAAACTCAATCAGTTGGTCTGTGTGATTCAATAAATGGAGAAATTCAAACTATACTTTGAATTCTCTTCCATGTTTACACACCATTGCGTATAATTCACATTTTATTGGCGGTGGAGCTCAGTCAATTTTAATACAAGGCAGAGAAACGTTAATAAATTTGAGCAAAAAATAAAATAAAAGGCAAGTTGTTGGTACTGCTCCTTACTTTCTATATACATTTGTAGGATTCTGCTGCTGTTCATGTAAAGGTGCCACAGCACATCACTCCAAACCAAACCAGTCCCTCCACCCGCCCCTGTGAGGCACACAGACCAAGCAGCTGATTTTTGACTTTCAGCATCACTGAGGCTAACGTAATTTGCATCTTTCCTCCATGGGCCGTTTGTTTACATGCAGACAGATAAGTGTGAGCGCCAATCGATGTGAATATCTGTTTTCAAAACTCATAACTGTTGCAAATTGATTTTCTCCCCCCACATCTTGCCTAAATCTCTTTTCAATAAATTTTAAATGAATGGGATGCTTTAAGCAGCTCTGTTGAATTTGTTTGAATCTCTGCAGCTGCTTAATGTGGCCCACATTTTAGAATATCATAAAAAAAAGGCTGTAGAGATTTGAGGAAAGATTTAAAATAAACAAATTTCCTCTCCCCTGAAGCACATCCATGTTTTTCCTGTCTCTTTTTTCCTTTCTTTGGGAGCTAAAATAATGTTTGAGTGAGTCACATTTTAATAATTTCTCAAGACTCCGGCGATGATCCATGGCCTGGACAGCGGAGTCATTAAAACACTCATTTACAACACTCTGCACTGAGCTGCGCCGTTAGAAATTAGTGGTGTGTGATGCGTGTGTGTGAAACATTTTCACTCCATTCAAAGCAGTTCAATCATCACCCGCTGCCTCTACACACGCGCACACACACACACGGGCCAACTCTTCCACAAGACAAAGTGTTCAATTTCCAAGAGTGCTTGTTTCAAACACAGTCCAGCACAAAGCATTAAATGAATTAATTTTTTTTCTCCCCCAAATGTCTCGGCTTTATAGCCATCCAAGGCTCTCTACATCACCATGTGTGATTATGGCGCCCTAAGGTCACATTTCACCTTAATGCTGCCCGATAAAACCAGACAGGTTTAAAGAGAGATCATTTAAATGCGTCCATATCTGATCAAGAGTTACAATACATATGCTAAATGACGTCATTTTAACCCTTATTAGTGGCATTCTGTTGAAAGACACATTTGAACTCGTTTGTAAAATCTAGAAGCTAAACATAAACAGTATTTATACATTTACAATTATTTTGTAGGACCTTCCAAGATAGACTTCAGATCAGAATATTTTTATAGATCAATATATTGATCTATACAAGATTTGCCTTCGTCACTGGAGATCATATTTTTATGAACAGAATAATTTTTTTTTTTTTACACAATATGGCATTTACATCGGTTCTCAACAGGCTTGAGGGAAAAAAAAAAGAAAAAAAAAAAGTCACCATACGTGCATCTCTGATCTGGAAACTAAACTGCCACAAAGTGGGCTTCCAGCTTTGGTTACCATGGTGATCGATCCAGGTGAGACAGCTTTGTGGCGCTGAAAATGCCAAACTGAACCTGCCATACAGCCAGTCGTGCTCCACTATAATTTACACCTCACCCAGAGTAAATTTGCACACATTACCTCTTACATCAAACGTGCAAAATACAAACAAGGACGGAGCAGAGTAATAAGGATTAAAAACGGCACTCTTGATTGGTCTAATCGTGTAAAGGCTATAACTACGGCCCTGTACAAAGCTGCGCGCTCCCAAGCAGAAGCTTTCAGCCCGCAGTGACGAAGCAGATCTGTGCATTAAATAAAATAAATTACTCTTGTAGCTTTAACACCCTGACACAGTAAGCTCGGCAGGGCCAGAAAACAAAACCTCTGGGGTGTAGATGATGCGGGATGAAGCATGAGATGTTTCCATTTTTATCACAGTGATATAATGCTCACTAAGCGTTACTCACCAGTGACTGTCGAGGACCTGAAACGCAAGAATGCGTGATCTAAATCTGCAACACGTTTTTCTCTGGAGAGAAACATTCCTTTCTGGTGCCACGGGGTAAAATTTGCCTTTCACAAAAAAAAAAAAAAAAAGGTACTTTGACAAACGTTGGGAATTTTTGCTCTTAAAATGCTGTTTTTTTTATGCTGTTTTTTTTATGCATGTGGTTCTAGCTGCACGTAATGCAACATGACGAGCTGCTCTTGCAGCACAAGTACAAGGACTCAGCCGCAATAAAATATAACTCGTTTAAGGTTGGACAGAGCTGAACCCAGATATTTGCCTTCACCGTCTAAAAAGAATTTATTCTTCCCTCGCAGACATTAAACCAGATTAAACCTTTTCCTATTTAATAATAAGCGAGAGATTTTTCTTATATATTTTTAACTTTCTTTAAACTCAAATGTTTGAATATGATTTCTCAGTATTTTGAAGAAGAGTTTAGATGTCTTCAGACGTTAATGTGTTCCTATGATGAAAATTGCAGGGCTCTCCATTCTGGAAATGTCAGCAGGGAATCAATTACTTGTTTTCATTAGTGTATCTAAATTGCTCATCACCACCTGCTTTAGCATGTATGCATTTATAGGAAAATCGTCTTCACATTTTGCTGCAAAATCCCATTACTAAGGAACTGTATGTTATTCTGGAACAGAGGTTTATCAAGTTTTTTTTATTATTATAAAACTGCCAATTATACACCAGCTTGAGAAAATTGGCAGAAGAATACAGGTTACACATTTTCAAGCCACCACAACTCTGCAAATATTGGCTTCTTAAGCTAAGGAGCCGGTGACCTTAATTTTCCATTATGTGCCTTTGCAGAAGAGTAGGACAGCTATTTTGTTTTGAAATGTTACAATGCCTTATACCTCTCAGATCATTAGGCTGACTGATGAGGCCATTGCTTACCTGAAAGAAAGCGTAAATTACCTTCATACAGAAGAGCTCATTATGTTCAGGATGTTTCAGGGCTTCTGGCTCCTTCTACAAAACTTAGATATAAAAAGTCCTTATAAAGGACGACTTATGGGGCATTTTAAGTCAGAAAGACTTTTTTATGACAGATTCTCTCATTATTCAAGAAACCTAAACAACCTGCATGCAAGCTGACCTTTACGTCAACAGAAAGGTCAGCAAACATTATGAGGGAGGGGGGAAAAAATGTGCTGATTATTATGGTTGATAAAAATTAGAACAGGGAGTTGCAGAGAGAGTCATGAAAATAATGTTTTAAAACAACTCTATATTTTCCTTCCAAGAGACTAGACTCTTTTTTAAAAAAAATGAAAATCTTGGTCATTTTTTTTCTGCAGATCTAGATAAAGGTTTTCTTTGGTCACTGGCTGCTTCTTTCCCCCCTTTTTACTAATCTGCTCAAAATATTATGGGATATTTGATTATAAGAAATTAGTTTACATCTCATTTCTAGAAAGGACAAAACATAGCAGTGCTGAGCCCTCCTCACCCTCCCTAAGAAAAAAAAAAAAACTAAAGCTGCGAATAAAAATTACCTGAAAGTAACGTCTAAAACCAAGTAATAAAAGCCTGTAAAGCCCTGATGCAAAGAATGAGATGCATCATCCTTCAGCTTTCTAGGAATCCATCTTTCCGTGTCAGACTGCATTATAGGCTACGTGCCATTTTTCATAGTTTCGAGTAAAGAAAAGGGAAATGAATAAAATTCTGATTTAAATGGGCTCTTTGCCAAGCTATCATTGTAAAGACAAAACACTGGTTCAGCCCTCGACTCTGAGCTTTCAGCCTCTTTTCACATAACATTTCAGCCATACGCAAAGACGAGCCGCCTTTGAGTGCCCTCTGGTCAATTGTAAGGTCAAGACAGTGATATTAAGTTTACCAAAACCCAGCCAGCAATACGGGACCACAGTCGTGTGTCGTCGATGTCGGCACTAGACAAAACCTGCATCAGGAGTTTCTGCATGCCTTTCTTTTCCAAAATACAATGGCGGACAAACTCGGGGTAGCGATCAGATTATTGGCAGAGCAAGTGATTCAAATTTAAATGATAAATCTAAAGTGTCTTACTCTTATTGCTGGAAAAGTATTCCTGTCTTTTATACACAAATCCTGCCAGTGGACAGTAGCAAAGACCATATATTATCATGGACTCTAAATTTGAAGAACTGAAGGATACGATTTCCTTTGGCCAAGGTGCTCTGGGGAAAACTTGAGGTACACTTGCTTGCAGAACGTTATGTTAAAATAAAAATGGAGAGAAAAGTTTACAATTTAAAAGGTAAGTTACATGTTTATCCTCAGCAAACAATTCAACATCTGTATTGAAATCAGTGGATAATAATTTATGTTGGCTACTTGCAGCTCTTGATCCTGAAGGCTCAATCACACCTACGCCGTCTTCCTACCATCTCTACAGTACGAACATTGCTTTTCTTGTAATGTCATACAACAATGCAGGAACTTAAGGTTAAATCCAAAGTGGCATACCTTGCCACTGTTCAGTACCCGCCTTCACACAATTAAATATTTCTTTTACAACAATTTCCACATCTTAGTGTGGAAATTTTCTGAGAATTTGAATCCCAAAATATAATGTCGCCACGACTCGCTTTCAGCACAGGAAAGATTACCTCCAGCTCAATTTGAAGGACAGAGTCTCATCTGAACCTTTGTCATCTTTTAGGAACAATTATTTCGTCAGTCATCTATAAAAGTAGCACGTCAAGCGATGACAGGATGCATTAAACCCTCACACGGTCATTGGTAGTAGAGAGATTTGAATTTCTATCATTTCAGCTCCTCAGTAATCCTCAGCATCATTATCAAGCCCACAAATTTAATATCGAAGACACATTATCCAACTCTTCATGTGCGTTTAACGGTAGTACAGCTCGGCAGATGATAACTTTTCTTAGCCTTGCAAAAGAGAT